TATCAAGTGAATCTCTTCCTGATTTGAAAGCCCTTATAAAAAAAATTTAAAAATAAAAATATTGGCCTTACTTTCTTTATTATATTATTATATAATGACGTCAATCCAGAATCATCGTAAAAAGTTAAATCATCAAATACAGAATATCTCTGTGAGAATTAGCTCAAAATGCACCAAAAACTTTTGGTGGTCATAGCACACTTTAACCAACTTAAGATTATTTAAGGTGTTATTTTAGGAATAGACGTAGCCAATAACTGCTGTAAATAGCATGAATTGCTAAATAGAATATTGTGTTTTTAATATATAGTTTTCTCAGTAGTTAACCTCTATAGCTGGAAATCTATCAACCTCAAGTATTTCCGCCTCCTTCAAACCTGTCATGAAACCTAGACCAGGCTATTGCTAAAGTGAGATGGATTAACTGATTGATCTTAGTGCTACTTTTGATTATATTTCTTGTTGTTTCTTGTTGGAATAAAAATCAAATTAATATTTGCCCACCTAAGATATCACTAGTGGGTAGCATGGGTGGTGTTCGCGGCTAACACATCGTCTTCCACCGCTGTGAGTCCAACGGGTCGGGTCGCTGGTTCGAGCCCTTTGGTGTTGTTGTTCTCTCCTATGCTATGAGGGTTTTCTCCAGGTTCTCCAGTTTCCTCCCTCCGTAAAAATCAACATGTGAGTTGAGCGTTGTGTGCATAGAATATTAAATGTAGTGGTAGTGCGTGTGAGTGAAAAGTGTCCCCAATTAGTGCGAAAGCGCTAGAATGACTAGACGCTTAAATAAAAAGTGATTTTTAGTTGCTGTGCTGTAAGCTGTTGTCATTAAAACAAAGCAGCTTYGCAAGACCTATGGTAATAACTGTTGGCAAATTAATTTCACAATGCCARTTGTTTGTATAAACATTGACTGGTGCTAAGTAAATAAGTGGGCTTGGTGGTGCAGAGACTCCCTCAGTAGTGCCAGCAATGAGGTCAGCTTGGCATAGTGTTCCAAAAAGGTTACTAGTGAATGAGACATCCCCACATTACCCACATTAATAATTAATATTCATCATAACCACAGCTAGTATACCAATGGAACGTTGCCTGGTGCTGGATGGGAAACAAATAACTTTATTTAGTGTCTGATTTCGCTGATATCATTAACCTAAAACCACTCTATATACTGTAAATCTACTTCAACAACCACATACTTATTTGTTTATAGGATAAAAAGTATCCTATAAAATACTGTACACATAAGCTTATTATAAATCATATATTTAAGCACAAGTTTAAGTTCAATCATAGTTAATACTTAACTAATTGACTATCGTTCAACGAAGCTTTAAAATAACAAGGAAACAAAACTTAAAACTGCTTCAATCCACACCTGTGACACGAGTTTAAGCAAAAGCAATTCGCAAACAGACATAAAGTCGCGAAAAAAGAAACAAAAAATACAAGAAAGATGGGGCCTGTTTGCTGTGTTGATAACTTGGATTGTTAGAATACTCACTGGAACTACTACTTCTTGAGGTTCTTCGTCTTGTTTTCGTCCACACAACTTTCTTGCAAAGCCGGAAGCCATTTTTAGCTGTACTTTACAGCGAATGCTTGTTGCATTGTGGTGATATTCTCATTAAAGAGGGTTCACAATGTCTTACTGCAGCATTGTAATACGATAAGAAGCTCTCGCACGTAAACAAAACTCTTTATAAACACATTTTTTTCCGTATTCTTTTTCCAGGAATCCCAGCCCGCTGACCAAAAAACGAAAGAATCTGTGTTGTCCCAGATGTTGTCCTTTTATGGAACGTATCTCCCATGCCTCTCTCCATCGAAAAAGCAAAGGAAACCAATATAGTGAGTCTTTATTCAGTTTTTTTCAAGGATAGAAAGTGAAGATTCACCCCGGGGGAGGGGCGGGGGGGTGTACTCTTGCCCGTTTAGGGTATGGATGTGCCGCTGAGCCCTCTGAACCCTGACCATGTTCCAGAGTAAAAATCGCTGAAACTCATACCCTGTTCCAGAGCAAGCTGATTGCTGAAAACCCTGTTCCAGAGAGGAGAGAGCGTGATTTCATATACCCTGTTCCAGAGCGAGCGCGATTTTATATACCCTGTTCCAGAGTAGAATCGCTGAAAACCATACCCTGTTTGGCGGCACTTACCCGTATAGTGAATATAGGGAAGTACCCCCCCGGGAGATTCACGCAATATTACTTAGATTATTTTAAAAATTCTATCAATCCTTCAGAGAATTTGCTCCCTTTTCAGAAATGCGAATATTTGTGACATTTGATTATAAATGTTTTTCGAGTAAAAGTGATCGTAAAAGCTGCTACAGACACACAGGRCGCTAATTAGCGCCCTACATATGGGTACTCGGGCCGCTTTGTCATGTTTTGTTCGATTTACTTCCGCTTTGCGTGACAAACAATAGGAAAGACACTCCTTCATAACGCCTCCATATTCTCCATATATATGAAGTGTAAACTAAGGTAACGGGTACAATAGAATGTGCTCGAAAAAATTGACCTCTGCTTTGAAATAAAACATAAAATAACTTTGTATCTTTGGCGAAGATATATTTCTTTCTTAAATGCTATAAAAAATTTAAAAAATCGACCAGATTTTTGGAAAAATATGGATATTATTACAGACAATGGTTGGGATCGCATGCTCTCCCATGCATCATTCACGTGAACAGAAGCCGTTACGTAAGGGTAATCTGTTTTGTGATTGGCTGATACCGGCTGAGCGAATGTCAGGCCACACTGATACTGCATATATAATAATATTTGGTAACAGACAAAGACATTGTGTGTTATCGATCACGTATACTGAGAAAACAAATTGATCATAGGTTAGGGAATCTAACCTTTCTTGATCAAAAACACCCAAAGACTATGAGTCGCTGACCTGCAAGCTTAGAATCGCACCATATTAAAGCCTAGAAGGATTTTTTACTTGTGATCTTAAAGCATTTGCTGGGGTCACGAAGTTACTGGACCAGATTGTCTTCTTCCAACCCCAATGCAGAACCTCGATCGCTCTTTCGCTTTCTGGACATATTTTCAGGCCGAAAAAAGTTGCGAGTTTATTTCGACGACTATGGAAAGCACTTGGGATGAGTTCTACTTCAAGCGTTCTTTTGTAGGCGTCCTAGAAAAGTTCATTGAAACAGTAGAAAAGATGGAATCCACGGTGCTAATTCCAAGCAGGCTGATTGGAATATCATTAGCTGAAATTCTGCCAAAACCGAACATCGATGGCTACCTGAAGGAAAGCATGGATATGCGAGTTTTATTTGACTTCATGAAGGCTGTGAAAACACAAGTTTATCAAGGAAGCAGTTACGTTTTGGAGAATGGTGAGCGAAATTCGCCGTTGCAGTTCAAGCTGAAAGAGGCAACCAGGCGAGTAAATCAGCTCATAGTGGTCGCAAAATACRTCACTTTGTTTGCTCAGAACATTGCTTTTCAATCCAAGACGTTATGCTACAAAGAATTCGAGAATAATGTAAGGTTTTCCAAAGAAACAACCCTTCTGGGAGCCTTGAAGAAATTCCTGCTTGAAGTCGAAGAGATGGAGAAAGCTGTTCTTTTCCCATGCCTTTTGAAAGATCATGGCACTGTTGGTGACTTGCCAAAATATTTCGATTCTTCGTCTCCTATGGATAACCTCCATGATATTTTCATCCAGCTCAAGCTCCTGAAAAACGGAATTCTTTCTGGGACTCAGCAAAAAGAACTCGCTAATCGAAAAGTACAAGAAATTCTCACCGAATTGTATCAAACTTTCAATCTTTACATCAAATTCACTTCCAGCCTTATAAACAAATACAAGCAAGAGGTCCAGTGCTTTTAAAGGAAGATTTTGTAACTAAGCATTAGAATGACAGGCCTAGTTAGAACAGCTAGCTCATTATTTTTCAAATTCATAACATAAACATCTAGGTTAGAGTATACCAATTCGATTGTATAATAATTTTTTTCAGTTACAATACGAATATTATTTATTGTAGACTCTTAGAAGCTATTTTGCACTCACTCCTGTAGAGTAAAATACTTTATTTCTATGCTAATATTTTTGATAATAGCTTAAAATTAACTCAAATAAATAAAAAGTTTATAACAAAACAGTAAAATGTTTTGACAAATGAATTGTGACTTCATATCACCCCTGTGTAGACTATTGCCCAACATACAACTAATCGTGCGTGCATCGCATTTCGCAAGCGAATTTTCTAGAAAATAAAGACGAACTTTCTAAAAATTTGACATAAATTTCGCTTTAATAAAATCTGTTTTGTCTTTGAATATTTTTTGATCACCCGACTGATTCGACATAGTCTTGCATGACAAAAGCCACGGTTCTTTCTTGTGACACCGTATTGGAAATGGCCATTTATAACGGCTCAGCGTCAAAGCGTCAAAGCGGAAAGCAGCGTAAAAAAATAAAATTCATGGCTTTATTCACGTGTCAAAGTTGCGTAGATGTCCTCATGATTAGAATAAGTTTCGAGAATTTTGCACCAATAGTACAGAGGAATCTGCAAACGGTGTAGCTAGTCCCTTCCCCCCACCCTTCTCCCCAAGGTCACGCATCTCCAAGGTCACACGTTCACTTCCTGAAACAAATAGATCGAAAAACAATGCTGTGGCTTCCACCGAAAGACTGAAACCCCACATCATATAGTTAAGAGCGACTGTCTGTAAAAATCAAACAAAATCAGAAATATGTGGAAAGGCTCAAATTTTCGAATTCGCTCTACTTTTGGATTTTAGTAGTGTATGATGAAGTACGAAACGCTGTGTGGTTAGTTTTGAAAAATACTTTTTTGTTTTCGAGAAAAAGGGAAAAATCGGTTTGAGCTCCAGGGACGATTTTTGCTGCCAAAAGATGGCTGAAAATTTCTTACTTTCGCTTGGTCCGTGTATCAAAACTATTGATCCAAATAGCCTTCTAATGCTTTCTGCCAAAAGTACAACTCTTATTTGCTCAATTAAGAGTAGTTTCATACAAATCGAACAACTCTGAATTATTTAACACAATAAAAAGCAAAGGGCACTGAGTTACAATGCTTGTCAGTGCATCTCGAAAACTGCGAGTTTCCCTATGTGCCATCCTTCCAAATCTTATGAGATTACAGTCAACAACTATTGGGAAACTGCTCTTTTGAAAAATGTAATTTTTATTTTGGGGAAATAATAGTGCGCTTTTTGCGAGAGCTTTTATTTTGACTCATTAAATATGCAGAAATCATTGTTTGACAATTGCGTGACTAAAGACTTCTCGAAATAAATTCCCTTGAAACATCATTGTTTTTCAAATCTAGTCTATACAAATAAAAGGAAACATTAAYATACTAACCTTCAACACGAAAAGGTCTTTTCCGTTGCTCCATTCATCGGAGTTATCAAGAAATTAGAATTGGCAACCGTGGCGTTGGCTTGTTTTACGCAACCGATTTCCGAAAATACCATCTATCAGTACCAGTCGACAGTTCGTGTTTCTTTACAAATAACTAGTCAGATTTCAATAAGAAATATACAGAACAGTATATTTATAAATTCGATTCCTGCAGAGTCCAGTAGGTTATCCTAACTTCACTGGCAAGTTGTTTAGTGTCTCTAATTTGCATATTGTCGGAAAAGTCACAGTTGGCGCGAGAAAAGAGCGTACCGTAGTTTCTTCCGGTTCTGTCCATACCCTAGCGGTGTTGGAATTTTATGTATTATCCTTGGCAAGAAAAAGAGTCGAGATATACATTATTATGCCATGTTAACATTAAAAGCCCTTTGTGAGCAATTTTAAAACTGGTTCTCTCAATAGATTATGGTGGAGCCGGCTATTGGCACCTGTGCGAACTACTATGCTATACTGCTCCGTTTTGATATAATTCATTAAATAATTTTGTTTCCTGTGAWTAGTTCCTGCACTAGATTTCTCTTTAAGAAGCCAGCTTGTTGCAAGACAAATTCCTGTTTTCTTTCTTTCTCCTTCGTTAAAGAACAGTGGTCAGTGCATGCACTATGGTCCCACAACACGATCTGCACGCTGGAATGCTGTCTCGGTATAAGTTTCTGACAGTCACTTGCAAACAATTGCCGATCGATCTGTTAAATATTACAGACCAATTTATCAAAGCGCTACTGACTAGTAGTTCTTGGAAGAAATAGCCAAAGATGGATCCCTGGCCTTATACTGTTCTGTATATTTCTTATATTGAAATCTGACTAGTTACTGGTGGATGGTATTTTCGGAAATCGGTTGCATAAAACAAGCCAACGCCACGGTTGCCAATTCTAATTTCTTGATAACTCCGATGARTGGAGCAACGGAAAAGACCTTTTCGTGTTGAAGGTTAGTATGTTAATGTTTTCTTTTATTTGTATAGACTAGATTTGAAAAACAATGATGTTTCAAGGGAATTTATTTCGAGAAGTCTTTAGTCACGCAATTGTCAAACAATGATTTCTGCATATTTAATGAGTCAAAATAAAAGCTCTCGCAAAAAGCGCACTATTATTTCCCCAAAATAAAAATTACATTTTTCAAAAGAGCAGTTTCCCAATAGTTGTTGACTGTAATCTCATAAGATTTGGAAGGATGGCACATAGGGAAACTCGCAGTTTTCGAGATGCACTGACAAGCATTGTAACTCAGTGCCCTTTGCTTTTTATTGTGTTAAATAATTCAGAGYTGTTCGATTTGTATGAAACTACTCTTAATTGAGCAAATAAGAGTTGTACTTTTGGCAGAAAGCATTAGAAGGCTATTTGGATCAATAGTTTTGATACACGGACCAAGCGAAAGTAAGAAATTTTCAGCCATCTTTTGGCAGCGAAAATCGTCCCTGGAGCTCAAACCGATTTTTCCCTTTTTCTCGAAAACAAAAAAGTATTTTTCAAAACTAACCACACAGCGTTTCATACTTCATCATACACTACTAAAATCCAAAAGTAGAGCGAATTCGAAAATTTGAGCCTTTCCACATATTTCTGATTTTGTTTGATTTTTACAGACAGTCGCTCTTAATATGCCCACATCTTATTAACTATGGCCACATCTTCAGTAGGAATTGGACCCAATTTGAACCTAAACGACAAGGCATCCTGCCAAACAACCCGGACAGATCGATGCTGGTTACAAACTTGCCGATTACTAAACGGTTGGCCGACAAGGCATCCACCCAGACAASCCGGACAGATCGATGCTGGCTATAAACGCGCCCTTACTAGAACGGCTGGCCGATGCAAAATACAAGCCATGACTCGCTTAAAAGTTACTGAATACGATCCCGTGATCGTTAAAAACCGGATTTTCCGGATTCTGGGGGATTCTGACTGTACTTGTATAAATAGTATCTAAAAGGCGATGATACCTGCGTCAAGAACTAACAGGGCCTCTCGCGCTGTGTGAATGCTTCCTGCATTTGCATGTGAACATGAAACCCGCCGCAAACAACGAAAGGTGAACCAAGGGGCCGTTTACATGAAGAAAACTTATCCCTGGTAGTAGAGATAACCTTTTCCCCAAGCCGTGAGTCCCCTGGGCGAGCTAACTTTTCCCTTAAACAACTTGGCCATATAAACGCTCTCGGTATAGTTGGCTTGAGTAGGAGGGTGTCCCTGCTACCAGGGACAAGTTTTCTCCATGTAAACGGCCCCAACTTCAGACAGGAGACAGAGGATGATATATATATGGTCTCACTTCCCCAAAAAACTTTTTAGAGACACGATTTCCGAATCTTGAAGACTGAGAGTATTGCGGGCACACGATTGCCCCGACCCTGGAAATCTTAGCCTGTGTCACCATCAACGTGAGTGAGTCAAGAAGGGGATTCATGACTCACTTTGAAAACGGCTTTCCATAATGTTATTTCTACCCTGCGAGCAGAGTCTCCTTTTAAATCCTCTACGGGCGAGAGGAGTTAAAAGGAGACTCTGCTCGCAGGGTATGTTATTTCAAAAACCAGTTCAAGAAGTCAAAATAATAACAAAACTGGGTGGCATGTGTGGCGTCATATAGTAAAACATTTGTTGGTGCTCCTGTGGATACCATGAGCTTTGCATCAAGACTGATTAAAATGAACAGGTTTAGGCACATGTAGCCCAAGCTAGGTTTCTGTGGTGTCAATCGTCAAAATGTGAAATAAAGTAAAGACGTCTTATCTGACGTTTGGGAAGTAGTATATCTTTCGTCCTGTTACTTAGATTTTATATTTAATCAGTTTTAACGTTATTTTCCTCCACTGGTAAGACGATTTTAAGTATCACCATATATTTTCTTATAACATGACACCACAGAAACTTAGCTTGGGCTACCTATGTTTCAGGTTACCACGACGATCGAGTTTTTTCTCCGAATCAATTCTAGTCCTCTCCCCCAGTGTAAATCAGCAATTTATTAAATTAAATCCCAATATACCCGTATATTTACCCTGTTAAATACGCGTCAAATCTCCGGTCTGGCCGAGTTAAATCCCTCGTCCCCGAGTATTGCCGCACAATTTATTAAGGTGATATATTTTTCAACTGGCTATAGACTTGTCACATGGTTCTCATGGTCTTTAATCATTAGTATAATATTACAAACCACGGACAGAGCTATTTACAAAGGAAAAAACTTTTTATGAAAAGTTTATACATGTAAGAATAGAAGGGTTTGGGATCCCAACAAGTTCCTTGGATCACAAAAAGACAAGTGAAAAGTTTTCCCGCGAAAAAAGGTATCGGACAAATTTTCTGCCTATCTTGGACCTTTAACACAGGGTGACCATCTACGACAACAGCCACAAACTGAGTCTATTTACGTGTCTTTCTTTTGTGCTTTTTTGGCGGCGTGGCTTCTTTCTTGCGTCGGCTAAGATAAAAATATACGTTTCGTGAACAAAACTGTCGGTGACCGATAAGAAAAGAATGAGAAAAGAACCAAAGATAAACTGAAGAAAATCACAGGGAGCCCGCTTTACATTTCGTCGAGGCAAGAGGGAGTCAAGAGGGAGGCAAGAGGGAGGTAAGAGGGAGGCAAGGGAGGCGGGGAGAGAGCCCCTCACTTTTACTGGGGAGAACGAGGTATGTTCGTCAAAGTAGTAAAGCAAAAAAATTGTTCACGAGACCAGACGTATATTTCAGTGGGTTGCCTGTGGGGGGTAGATCTGAGCACCCCCCTCCCCCTCCCTCCACTTTCGAAAACGTTCCACCGTCCCTGTGGAAGGGATAGATATTATACTACCATATTATATCGCAAATATCTACACTTCTTTAACCATGCACCTTTTCTGTTTTCTTCTTCTTCTTCTTTCTTCCTCGGAGTCTTCTGATTCACTTGAACTTTCTTCGCTGGAGCTCTCTGTAGTGTTAAGAAGGAAAAGAGAGCTTGTTTAATGAGGGTTCTTAAATTCAGTACTAAAAAGGTAAGTGTTCTACCAATTAAGTTGGCATTTGATTTGCATTGTGATTTGAGCTTGTGATTGGGGGGAGGGGGGGATAACTAATAATTGACCCCCAAAAAGGTACGGAGTCATGTTACGTAACTGACGTTACAAAGGGAGCCCACCCCTCCTTCCAAGGATTTGCGCAGATTTTATCGAAGTTTGAGCAGTTGCATGAGTAGAAAAGCCTCAAGAACATGGTTCTTTGTAAATTAATGTGTACATCTATATAGATATATGACACGTGCTCTGAAATCAAATATCAAGGTTTTGCTTTAGCATCAAGAACATGGTTCTTTGTAAATCAATGAGTACATCTATATAGGTATATGGCACGTGCTCTGAAATCAAATATCAAGGTTTTGCTTTAGCATCAASAACATGGTTCTTTGTAAATCAATGAGTACATCCATATAGATATATGACACGTGCTCTGAAATCAAATATCAAGGTTTTGCTTTAGCATCAACAACATGGTTCTTTGTAAATCAATGTGTACATCYATATAGATATATGACACGTGCTCTGAAATCAAATATCAAGGTTTTGCTTTAGCATCAACAACATGGTTCTTTGTAAATCAATGTGTACATCCATATAGATATATGACACTCGCTCTGAAATCAAATATCGATTTTTATCAAACCCTGAAACAACCTCTGGGCTCTGGGCTCAGAGGAGAATTTACTACTAATATTACTAATACTAAGGTTTTGCTTTAGCATTTGGTAAAGAAACGTTCGACTAATTTGGCAAATAAAAGTAGTCAGTTGTAGGATCTATACTGAACCTAAAATTATCCCTCGTGGCTCGGATGATCACGTTAATGGCGGTGGTAAGGGGTATGACATGCGCTCTACTTAAGTACAATTAACTTTTCACTTTCGAAAATTTACATTTTAACTGCTGAAACGAAAAAAAATTATATCTCACTCGCAATGCATTCTGGGATACTAGGGGATCCTCCTCTGCTCTTGGCTGATCTAAATTCATGGCATGGCTAACTCATAGGCTGAATTGGAGTTCGGACTGGGAAAAGATATACCCAAAGCTGAACTGAATGTCCATTGACAGTTCTGTCGAAATGTGCTCACAGCTTCCAGCCTGCAAATCTGTTCTTGGAAGACCAACACTCACCTTCGCTGCTTGACTCATCAGAAGAGTCACCGCTGGACGAAGAATCGCTGTCGCTTGCTTCAGTATGCTTCTGTGCCATGATCATTTTTGGGGCATTTTTTAAATGTTCACGAAGCTCATCTCTGAATAAGTAAAAATTAACAAGTATTATCGATGGTTAAGTAATTTTTCACTTCTCGGAAAAAAGTTTTGTTTCTCAAATGAGAAGGTTTCGTCAAGAGATCATTGGATTTTACAGCAAATTTAAACTTGAAAAAATTAGGTTTCATATTTAACAGGACTATTTTCCCTTGACTTTGGAAAATTTATAACAGTAAACGTAAATTTTGCTATTCTCATATAAGTTCAAAACTAGKACTTTAAAATCTGTGATGCAGTACTCCAGCACTTCTTCTCAGTCACGCGGGAAATCGAATATTTTCTATCGCGACCAAAATATGGTTTTGGTGGACGTCAATTAAAGTGTTCCCATGATAATGTCTATTGTTTTACAAGTGCTATTTAATACTTGGCTAACTTACGTTACACCACCCAGGCCAATTGAAGTGAAAAAGTTGATCGAGAAGCGCGTGTTTCTTGGGTTGTCACGTGGGAAGAGACCTTCAAAATAAACGACCAGGAAACTGAAAAACAAGCATAAAACAAGAGGTCAGGAGATAGCTTAGGAAAGTTCGGTGGAAGTAGGGGAAAGGAGGGGGGTGGCGTCCTCAACCGAGGGGGAGGGGGAACATAAACACATTTTTGTAACAGTTCAATCTCGTGCCCAGAGTCCACGCTCCTCTTGATGAGCACCGACAAACRAGTGCTGGCCAAGAGGAACGTGGGCTTTGGGTACAGGATTGGTAACTTACGGATCTTTGAGTCGCTCGTTCAGTTTTGGCATACCCATGTACTCGGCTAATTCTTGAAATAAGATTTTGATAAAAACTCGACTGAAAAAAAAAARAGATAAAGATATCAATAACACGTGTTTTGTAACATAAAAGTTGCAAACCAGCATGCTTTCAAAACGAACACATCGTTTTCGACAAAATTATGAATCTGTTGCCTCATAAAACGTATTTGGTTGGCTATAAAATTTTACAATTGATACACTGTAGTTTGCAACAAAACTATATYATGCAAAATATACATTCTAAACTAGATCCAAGACTTGCTAGCCATGGTTAATCAAAGTTTTCATTAAGTATTGAAATGATGGGAGAAGGTCGTGAACTAATCAGAGAGTCTAAGTGAACATTTGACACAAATTACTAAACTATAAATGGTAGTTTAAGCCGGAGACTTTTGCTAGAGCATTCTCCGCGGATCCCCGACCCCAAATGAAACCCCTGGCTAATGATCATTGATCAAGCTCCCTTAAATTGCATTTTGGCGCCAAAAGAAAATGAGGGGTTCTTTTCCTGTCAAAATTCTCCCAAGCTAGTCGTAGCGGAAGCGGACGCTTCAAAACTGACCGATCACAAGGAAAAGAAAACGTTCAATTCAGCCAGAACCATTGTAAAATCGTATTTGATATGAAAAAAGCAAGGTGTTTTCAACGCATGAAAAGACCAACCTTGAGGATGTGGTTTCGTCTTCATTCAGGTGTATACACTCCAGAACCTGTGGAAAGCAGACAAGTGTGCGGTGAAAATATTGACAATAATGCAAACTTTAATTAGTTATATACGTGGTTCAAAGCGGGACTAGTTGACCACTGTATTAAAAAACTGTTACTTTCAATGCTGTTGCTCCAAAGACGTGGAACAAACTTCCTCTTGATTTAAGAACGGAGAGCAGCACAGTATTACAAAATCGTACATTTTTCCAACAAAATTTTATTTCAAGAGGAGTGGTGTGCTGAACGTCAGTCGGAGTGTGGAATGATACCATGAAAACGCCGTGGTATCTGAATATTTTTTTACTTTACTTACCGTCCATGGTATGGCATCAGTAAAGAGAAGGTGGCCAAAAAACTTGGCAACATTTCTCAGCTTGTTTGTCTCTAATCGATGAATACTTTCGTACTGAAAATAACAGAAACAATGTTGTGGTATCAACCAACATGGCAGCCATCTCCTTTTTTTCTAAGCCAGTGCAATGCGAGGCTTGAGTACAAGATAGAGAAACAAATAGCACAGAGAAGGAAAGAGCTTGACATACCGATAGTCTATTCATGCTATTACCTGTTCTTTAAAAAGTTTGACGTACTCATCGACGTATTCTTTTTTCAGTGTGCAAAATCTCTGTAAATGTAAATGTTACAGTTATATACAGTTGCCCTAAGTCGACCTCTTAAGTCTCCCGCAAGAGTTTTTTATTCGAGCGATTTGTGCGAGCGACGAAATAGAGATACATGGAGGGTGGTGCACTTTGCGAAAGTCTAAGGAATATATAACGTACGCGCATGTCTCTGTACTGTAAACGAATTTTTTTTTTGTATGTAGAACTTTTCTAATTTTTGTACTAAAATGTTTTCCCCTGAAAACCTCGACAAATGTTTGTGTCAGATGCGAACTTTTGCAGCGGCCATGTGTGTTTTCTTGGACGATTTAGCGCATGCGCATATGTTTTTTCGGTTCTGTCACAGGCAATCTCGTACCCAGAGCCTRCGTTTCTTCTAGCCTGCAGCGAAGAACGAGGTCTCTGGCATAATCCATTTTTTGAGACCAGGATTCTTGGACTTCCGGTTCAAGAGCGCATGCGTTCAAAGACTTGCCAAAAATAAAAAATATTTTCCCGATTTCTAATTTTTCCTATAATCTTTACTTTGAATTTTACTTCGATTTATACTTTGATCTAATTTTAAATTTGATTACTTTCATTGGTTATATATCTCTTTTTCGAAAATTGCGCATGCGCCAAAAAATGGATTATGCCAGAGCCCTCGTTCTTCGCAGCAGGCCAGAAGAAACGCAGGCTCTGGGTACGAGATTGTGTCACAGCTCATAGCACGTAGGAAGTGAAAAAGGCACGAAAAAAAGCATCAGGAGAGAAGCATGAACAGTGTACCTACCTGTGCAAGTAATCCAAAGAACTTCTCGTAGGATCTTTGTTGAGCACAACAGTCGATGACCATTACACAGAATTCAGGCTACAAACAGAAAAACATGTAAAGCAATAAGATACAGACACCAACCAGCCCCTACCCTACCCTGCTAGGTATCGAGAAATTGTTTTTTTTTCCTTTCTGCCACACTTGAACTGAGTCTTGGGAGACGAGAATACTTCAGATTTTGTATAAAAAAAGAGAACACGTTGGTCAGAAGAGGCACACATTTTAACGTCTACACTACTCATGCTACACTATAAAGAAGCATGTGCCGTATATCTAAAGCCTTAATGCCTCGTTCCCCCTCCCCACCCCCAACAGCTGCAAAGAGGAAACACGACCTCAAAAGATATCTTACCACTTGCTCAGGTTGTAAGTTCATTTTGAGGAGCTTGTGAGCACATTCTTCATAATCCAAACTAAAATATGGGGAAAATAATGAAGTAAACAAACAAAAAGAAAAGAAAAAAAAAGGGACAGAGAACAGAAACCAAGCATGGGCCACACTCATCTAAAAATCAATTGGTTTTACCATTCCATGTCAGAGGAAAAGCCTAATTTGTTTTGCAAATCACTTGATAAGGCTAACGAAAGATTGCCTTAGAATTTTAATGAGAAGTTTTTTGTGTGTGGAGGAATGAAAAACCGGAGAACCGAGAGAAAAACCCTCTGTGCCTCAAAGCACAGGAGAGAACCAACAAACAACTCTACTCACGTACGACACAGGAGAGAACCAACAAACAACTCTACTCACATACTACACAGGAGAGAATCAACAAACAACTCTACTCACATACTACACAGGAGAGAAGTCCGGGAATCGAACTTGGGTCGCCTTGGTGAGAGGCAAGTGCTCTCACAGCTACGTCACCCCTTCGTCCCATTAAAATGGAAAAAGAATAGAGGACTGACAGTAAGCAAGCATGGGCCACAATATTAGCTTTATTTTAGCTGCATTGAAAACACATTCAAGAACCGGAATCAAATATATAATCTATTTATAAATCCATACCTTGATTGGATAGTAAGGTAGATTGTTCTTCTCAAAGCGACCAAGTTCGTCTCTGTATGATCGATGATATTCATCTTTTCTTCATCTGCAAAGTAAAAGGATCATAACAAGTTAGTTACCAAAAGATACAAATCCRATCGATACTTTAGGAAATTCTGGTGAATTTTTAAGGTTATGTACAGATTCCAGTATCATGGGTGGCGCGCGCTGCTAATGCGTCACCTCTCACCAATGCGAGCTTGGTTCGAGTCCTGCTGGACTCGGTATTGTATGTGGGTAGAGCCTGAAGTGTTTGTTGGTTCTCTCCTGTGCTTCAAGAGTTTCAGGTTTTCTCTGGGTTCACCAGTTTTTTCTCCCTCCACAAAAATCGACTTCTTAGTTGTAATTCGATCTATTGGCCGCCTTATCACCCAGGACCCGGTTGTGGATAGCGCTATCCGGCGGATAAATCTTATCCAGTTGATAAATTTATTGGATAACAGCATCGATTTATCCACTGGAAAAGGATTTATCCATGGGATAACGCTATCCATCCTTTGTACAACAGGGCCCAGGAGTGGTAAATGCATTAGATTACAAAAATATAAATGAGCATGCAAGCGAAAAAAATAGAGGATATTTCTTTGATTCTGTGCTTATGGCATATCAACAAAAAATGCATAATTGTTTATTACCTTTATTTCCTTCTTCATCTTCATCTTCGTCATCATCATCATCATCATCGTCCTCATCATCATCATCAGAGTCATCATCATCACTTTCTCCAAGTATTTCTGTTATAATTTTGTAGAAAAATTTTTTTTAAACTGAAAACATATCTTAATTCTAAAAGAATTGAAATGTCTTGCTCTCTTTATACCTATTAATGCATTACTTTCCATAAGAAATGATCCACTTCTAATAACTGTTTTGTTACCTTTTTTTATTTCCTTGTATTTCTCTTCATTTTCAAGAAAGTTTGGATCCATCTTGAAGATATCTGCGAAGCAAAACTTATTGTTACTCTTACAATTAAATTAAATGCTAAGTATATCCTATGATAGAGATGAAATTATTCAGCATGTCATAGCAAGGGAAGTTGGCATCAGCAACTGTCCTTCACTAATGACAGTTCTCAAGTAATCAGAGTGGCATACTATCTAAGCTACATCTGAATAATTCAAGAGTTTCTTTGTTCGTGGGAGTCATGATTTTACTACTTTTTTGTTGCATCCACAATTTTTATTTTCATATTCATATAATCGTAGATGAAACAAAAAAGTAGTAAATACATAATAATTGTTATCAATTCATCCCCTCAGGTTGTCGAAACGTCCGTCCCATCAAACAGTCCTTCTCAGGATTACATCCACCCGGATGATCATAATACTTTGATTAACATTCATTCACCTTGGTTCAGACCGTTCTATACGATACTTCATTTACATTTTCAGACTTAACGTATCATTAAATGTTTGAAGTCAACTTACTGAGGATATCTTCAGCCGTTCCACTTTCTTCCAGCCTCAGCAGATGAGTTATCTGGTCCTCTTCTTCCACCAGATCCAATCCTTCTGGTATAGCAACGTGGTCCTACATATATYAAGTGTATTAAGGCCGATTTAGATGGCGCGATTTTTCCTCACTCTTAAATTTTACTAATCCAATTCTAATTTGATCATTGAGTTGAATATCCCCTTCATAAAACTTGGGTAATATAACTTGCTGTAGCCCTAGCCCTTATGCAGATGCTTTTAAGATAGTTATGTAATGCTTCATGTTGTAGGACAACCCTAAGTACATCATGCAATGCTTCATGTTGTGTGACAACCCTAAGTACATCATGCAATGCTTCACGTTGTGTGACAACCCTAAGTGCATCATGCAATGCTTTACATTGTGTGACAACCCTAAGTACATCATGCAATGCTTCATGTTGTGTGACAACCCTAAGTACATCATGCAATGCTTCACATTGTGTGACAACCCTAAGAACATCTTGCAATGCTTCACGTTGTGTGACAACCCTAAGAACATAATGCAATGCTTTACGTTGTGCGACAACCCTAACGTCACTCAATGCTTCACGT